AGGCTGGTGTTTGCCACGTGTGACGTCACACAGCTGGGTTAATGGCTGGCAAGCTTTTCGCTACCGGAGCGGAATAACACGGGAAAGTGGCACACATTTCATGTTATTTGGGGGGTATTTATGGAAAGAATCATTGATGTTGATATGTCAAATGAAACAGTGGAAAGTGATGAAGCGATTTATTAACATAGAATAACGTTTATTTTGGACATTTCATGGACTTTAATCTCACTGAGCTGAGGTTATTTGAGCCTCTCAGGAGAGAGCTCTCTTCCACCTGGTTGTAGAAAAGCTCTTTAAATTCGTTAGCATAGCTAGCTAACCAGATGCTAATAACAACAGATCGCCACTGTGCTTACAACTAAAGACACAGCCTCGCAAACACTGCGGCATGTGTACGGCTCCTTATGGGTACTGCAATAATTGAAGAGCTGGAGCAGCGTTCCGATGCTCTCCGTTACACCTTCCAGACGAGACATAACCACGTGAAGACCTATGGTGAAGACACGTTACGCTCGTGTTGTGTTCAATGAACCTGTCCTTGGCCAGGAAAAACAGGCACTCGCTTGTTTAATTATTTTGCGATCTAGATTTCTTCTTCTTTTTTGAAGTGAGAAGTTCGGACTGACGGACCCCCCCCAAAAACGAAAACTCTTCGGTTCTCCACGAATTACACAAGTCACCCAAATCAGCGTTAAAAAAGCGGGAGGCGCCGAAAAGCGACTAATTTGCATCACTGATTTATGCAGGTATTTGTGCCTACTGTAAGCTGCTTAAATGTGGACATGGGTCTATATTAAGTTCAGTGCACTCACCTCTNCAAATGTAAAAATGTTATGTTCCACTAGTTTTAAAAGCCAGATAATCTCAACATATTAACACCACTTTATGATATTTGAAGACTAACTGCAAGAGGTAAAAAGTTAATATAAGGCTCAAAACGAACTACAGCACGGTGGCATGACTTCACGTCACCACCGCTAAGCTAAAGGTGGCTAATGTTGGGCTATAAAGGAACTACAGCACGGTCACATGACTTCACACCACCGCTACCCTAAGCTAAAGGTGGCTAATGTTGGGCTATAAAGGAACTACAGCGCAGTCACATGACTTCACGTCACCACCGCTAAGCTAAAGGGGCTAATGTTGGGCTATAAAGGAACTACAGCCGTCACATGACTTCACGTCACCACCGCTAAGCTAAAGGTGGCTAATGTTGGGCTATAAAGGAACTACAGCACGGTCACATGACTTCACGTCACCACCGCTAAGCTAAAGTGGCTAATGTTGGTAAAGGAAATGTTGGCGTGATGACGTTTAGCCGTCTCATTTAGACACTTGTTAACCACCGCCGTTTTTAAATTCAACAGTGGGGTATTTACTCACATTTTTATTTTTATTTGTTTACTTACAAATTGAGCAAGAAGATTTTACATTTTTAGCTCCAAACTGATTTTTGGTTTGGGAAACAAGGTGCAATATTGAATTTTTTTCTCACAGACATTAGTACAAGAGTCTTTGAAGACAACTTTTAAAGACAGTTGGTTAAGATCAACAATGTTTTTGGTTAAAATCGGACGCTATATATATAAAATATGCACATATGCTGCACTCATTTCTAGTTTATACTTCATTACACTTTAGATCCAGTTTGACTATAGGGACAATCAGCAGGCCATCTTTCTGCTACTTTGAGTCCAGACCATATCGTTATTTTCCAATGCACTTCTTATTATCTCTGCTGATGTGAACCCTGTGACCTGGAGCATCTTACCTTGTTATTTCTGCAGAGAAACCGTCTAAATAGCGTCTTTGAGCTCTGGGCGCTCTGACGCTTGAGTAAGTCTTAGTCTAGCGAGCGTTCTGGCTTTCTGCTACGGCAAGTTCTCAGAGTAATCCCCCCAAAGTCAAGCTGATTATCCAAACCTCAGACTCAGTTCAGTATTTGGGTGAACATGATCTCTGAGGTCGATCAGATAAAACTCAAGACGCATTGACTTTTTCTTTTTATATCAGCTCCCTTGTCTTCTTATCATCCTTTCTTTCCTACTTCTTATAGAACAAGCAGATTAATGGTGGTATCTCCGGATGGTTTTTAGGGAACTAAATCCAGTGTATTGACTTTATTTGTGAAATGGCCCAAAATAAAGACAAGTGATGGATCACAGAGGTGAAAAGAGAGAACGGTCTGAGCGGAAATAGATTTCTGCATCAAAGTTTAACCTTAAAGTCAATACTTGTTGGACAATCTTGCTAACAATAAATATAAATAGTGATTAATACCGTTTACCCTGAATCTTCAAATCACTAAGACTGCTGTTGAAGCTGCTATTTTTCTACCTTTTATGATTGTCGTAAATTTCAACTAAGCACTTGGTTTGTTCATAGTCAAAAGTCTCCTTAGTCGATGTGTTTTTATTACATGAGTTTAATTGATGAACTCATGAGCAAATCTCGGTAAACACATGATTTGACGACTTTATCTCATAATTCAATTTTTTTTCTCATAATTCTGACATTCAGAAATGTTTTTTGTCGTGTAAGGTCATGTATTCAACGTCTCTCATGTTTAGGCAGCTAAAGGTGGCTAATGTTGGGCTATAAAGGAACTACAGCACGGTCACATGACTTCACTTCAACACCGCTAAGCTAAAGGTGGCTAATGTTGGGCTA